AAAAAATATCCACAAAATACCATTAATTTTGTAAAATAGTCTGTTTTATACTATGAGTTATAAAAGTTTAAATCTTATAAATAAAAATTTCATTATAAAACATACTAGTACAATACTCGTGTACTACACGAGAAATATATTGTTAAAAAAATTATGTTTACAATTAAATAATAATAACAATAATTATTTAAAATTAAAAATATATACTTATTATACTAATTTGAGTTTTTCATGGAAATTAATAAGTCGATTGAGAACTTCCAAAATAAATTAAATTTATATTAGTCAATCAGTATAATTATCAAATGTTCCCATACAACATAAGAGTTATGTTAGTCAAACTATTATAGATTACCAAATTAATTTTTCAATATTTTTAAAATGTACGAACCTGTAATTATTATTTAGAATAATATTATTTTTTATCCAAACCAAACTACGAAACACGTTTTTTCGCCAAGTAAGATTCCGAAACGTGCGAGACTGACACTTAGACTCCCTGCATTCTGCAATTATATATAGAGGGGATTTTACCTTCTAATGATTTCAACTTATAGTTTAAAATCATTCGGCGTTCTGAATTGATAAATTTTACCTTTCGAGTCCCGAATTTTCAACTTATAGTTTAAAATCATTCGGCGTTCTGAATTGATAAATTTTACCTTTCGAGTCCCGAATTTCACATCTCAAACTAATATAAACAAAAGTTTTAGTTTAATAGTTGTAGATCTCTTGGATCGCGATAAATCTTCATTAATAATTGTTAAATAAAATAAATGAATAAAATAATTATATTAAATAAGGGGGTGTCTATATGTACACCCCCTTGTGTGTAAAAAAGGGGTGTACATATAGCATTGCCCTTTGTGTAATTTATTAAAGGGGGTGTACATATAGCATTGCCCTTAAATAATACAACACTATTTATTGAAGGGGGTGTCTATATGTACACCCCCTCAAGTGTAAAAAAGGGGTGTACATATAACACTTTTCTTTGTGTAATTTATTAAAAGGGGATGTACATATAGCATTGCCCTTTATTGAAGTACTAATTTCTATATATAACACATCAAAGCCTAACTTCTCTCCATTTGCATAGGTAATAATTAATTGTTGATTGAAAAGTAGGTCTTCTAATAAGGGTGACAGCCATTGTTACTTTGAGATAGGGTGTAATGCCAAAGTTGACTTCACAACTTTGTTGTCATTGCATGTATGAGTTTTGTTCATAAAAATAAATTGGACTGATAAATAAAAATGATTCTTTTTGCAATTTTTTTTTGAATCGTATGCGTCAAAAGGTGCGTGTACGGTTCCTAAGGGATAGAAACCCCACTCTACCGCCTTTATCGCGACAGAAGCGTTTTTTTATATCAAAATATTCATCCTTAATTTACAAAAAAAAATAAAAATAATAATAATAATAATAATAATAATAATAATAATTTTTGTTAATTTATTATTTATTTTGCATTTTACTACGGTGTAATATAAATACCACGAAATAAAATGAGATGAAATAAAATGATATAATCTATCGTTGCGAGAAAAGGTTGTTTTAAGATTAGACGAGCGACATGATTGGATATGGATTTTATTGGTTTTTATTATTATTTTTTTTAACTATAGTTAATTTTGAAAAAAATGTTGTATGATTAGTTGATAGTGAGAATTTAAGTTTATATCAAAATGATATATAAAATAAAATAATTAAAGATGATTTGATGTAAAGATATGAGATAGATGATATTAAATGATGGTTAGTTAAAATTATGTGAGTGGATGAATATTGAAATAAAACTGATGTGATGTGTAAAGATGATTGATTGATATTATTTAATTATATGAATAAAACTGAGAATAATAGGATTGAATTAAAGTTAAGTTAAATTTGAGTTTTGATTGATTTTTTACTAGACGAATTTATATCAGTTACACCCAAAGTCCAATATACAAACAATTTTGTGATCCCTAATGGAATAAATATTTATTATAAAACTGAATACAAGTCTCAAATTTCCTCAAAATAAAGTCTTAGAGGCGTCTATAAAGGCATCAAACAACAATGAAATAGAAAATAAGTGAAGAAATAAAATAAAAATTAATAAAAAATGCTAAAACATGTTGCAAAGGGTGAAATCGGCATTCCGCTTCTAGAAACTAATAGCGCGATTTCGAGTTCAAACACAAAAGTTGCATACATTTTAATTTCTTTCGATTAAACACTCTTCGAATGATTCTCAACAGCCCAAAACTCGTCTGTTACATGTTCCACATCAATATCTTGCATAAAGGATTGAAATTATGTGTTAATATTCAAAAGAGTACATAAGGGAAATGCTACAGTCCCGTTACACAATCATTCCGTTGAGATTTGTGACCGTTAAATTATCATGTAACTATCGTGATTAGTTGATGTAACGATTACAAACCCTGATGGAATAGTTTCGTAACGGGACCGTAGTATTTCGCCCTAACTCAAAACCTTAATCTTTTTGTACAATTCTAAATTGTTTAGTACAAAACCACTTAAGTTACCCCACTTACTTTACTTTCTTTTTCTCCCTCATATTTTACTTATTTAGGCCATACACTCAGTTTTGGCCAATTATCACATTCACATGACCATTCAGTTAAGGGAAGGTTTCATAATGTTTGTGTGCAAAGATTCTCTAATTCTGTCTGGTACAAAATCTGCAGGTGGGAGCACGCCGGAAAAGCCAAGTCCAGTGGCCATGGGGCCCGCCGAGCAGTCCCATCACCAGATAACCATCAATAGTGGCGGCCCAGCTGCTGGTGGGGCTGCTGCCGAAAGCATTAATTCGGTCGGCCGGAGATTCAGTTTCCGGCGAACTCGTCCGATGAGGATTATTAGTGATCCTAAGCGGATACTCGTCTTTTTTGCAACACTGTAAGTCCAAACAATATATATATATATGTGTGTGTGCCCATTCTTGATTTTTAACATGTTTTCATGTTCTACAGCTAGGAATTAAACAAAAAGTATGAGTGAATTTACATATCAATCAGTGTCACGAAGAAAAGGGCGGTAACCAGTTTTTCAAAATTTCCAAGAGTATATTGCAATTTTAGTCTTGTTTCACTACCTCATCTTTTTCGTCATCTTCGATTTTTTTTTTTCTTTTTTTCGTCCCTTATGTCAAACATAGAGGTTACAGAAAGGTCTGTTTCGCAACTAAAGGCCTTATGTTTTGACAAAAATGTTGCAATTTAGTCCGCTATATATGCCCTGAGAACTTTTTGTAACATTTTTGCAAACATCGAGGATGAAAAAAAAAATTAAAATCGCACGAAAAAATTAGGGTAGTATAACATTCAGGACTAAAATTGCTATTTACTCAATAAGTGTGAGTGACTCCATAAGTCGTGGCATCCAATGACTCCACGGCAAAACTGTCCATCCATCAAACATTATGTGTTTTCTAATTCTCAACTACTAATTCGCCCTTTGCCTGCAAACAAATCGCTCATTTGTTTGCATGATCTCATAATCCGACAAATGTTTTCTTTTTGTGCATCCAACATGAACTTATTCGGCAACTTCAATTCAATATGATTGATCGATTAATGGTGATGGGTATGATCATGTGTTACAGGTCAAGCATTGGAACTATTTTACTAATCTATTTCACACTATCCATGGCCAAGCTCAATTCTGATGGCACTGCTTCAATCTGACCTGACCTGATCAACTTTTTTTGTTTTACATTCTTGGAGCACGAGTTTGGTTCTATGCCGGGACTTCTCATGAAGAAAAATTCGACATTGGAAAGTGGCAAACTAATTCGAATATACAATCAAAGAAATTGACAACTTTTTGCCGAAAAGAACGACCATCAAATTTCAGAGAAAAAGGTGCCCCATTTTTTTTTTCGAACATGAGACGGAACATATGAGGAATCTTCAGATCGTTATTCTAATGAGTCGCAATGGAAAACGCATGATATGTATATTTCTTTCTTTCGATTTTTTTTTTTTTTTTTCGTTTTATGTTAATGTTTTGTTTATCTTTGCAATTGAAAGCTGATTTATTTTCTTCATCTTTGCATATATATTTCTGTTAAATGTTTAATGGAACCTGCACAGTGAATCAATTATCTGCCCATAAAGCAAACTCCTTGACTACATTTTTCCATTCCAACACATATTTTCAACAATCTTGAACACCTGGTGAAACAGACCCTCTCTGCACAAGCTATCAATCAATCCACTCTGCCAAAACACTGCGTTGTTACCTGCAAATCCTCGTCATTTTCGATAACCTCCCAGAATTCAGCCATGAATTTTGTTTCGTTAACCTGCACATCCAATTGAACTATGGATCTAAATGAAATCGCTAGTAACAAACACACGTTTAGAAGTCGATTAAAGGCAAATCATACATTGTCCGGGCTAACAAACACACTCTTAGTTGATGGTGGATAGATTGTATTATCGGATATTTTGATAGCAGATTTGATTAGCTGGTATGCCTATCGGATTCAATTAGTGGTTTGTCAAATAAGTGTTTGATAAATAATTAAAGTTCATGTTTTTTAGTCCAAAAAATTAATCAAATAATTAATCACTAAACAAGTTAATTAGCAGATTCGATTGGTCAAATCTCTAAATGATGTCCAATTCGTTGACTTAGTATCACTCCGCTAATAAACAAATGAGTATGCACCAATTCATTTAGGCTATGTTTGGTTCAACTGAGGGGAGGAGAGGGGAGGGATTTTAATGGAAGGAAGGGGAGGGGAGGGAAGGTGATGTAAAGTAATTTTACCTTGTTTGGAGGGATTTTATAGTAGGGGAAGGGAGGGAAAATAGTAAACCTTGTTTGGTAAGAAAATGAAAGGGGAGGGAAAATAATGTTAAAATGACAAATATATCCTTAATGATGTTATAAATAAAAACTTACATATTATGTAATAAGGGTAATATTGTAATATAATGTATTAAAATTTTCCCTCCCCTCCAAATTCCCCCACTTTTGGAGGGGAGCAAAAATGGGGAGGGGAGAGAATTTTAACTTAAAATTTTCCTTCCCCTCCTACCCCAAATTTCCAACCAAACAAGGGGAAAGTAAAAAATGTCCTCCCCTCCCCTCCCCTCCCCTCCTTTTTCCCTCAACCAAACAACCCCTTAATTCTTTATATATGGATACGATTTTATTTCTTTCAAAAGTATGTTTATATGAAAAAAACTATGAATAAATTAGTTAACCCTCTATACTCCACCATTTATGATTTTTTCCCCACTTATGCTAGTAGACATGACCGCGGCTCAAACCGGCCCATGATCAACGGGCCTCAAACCGAGTCTGTGGTTTGACCGGACCGGTTCCAAGCTACATATATGTACTTTTTAAACCGTCGGGCCAGTTTCGAACTGGAACCGACGGTCCAACCTTTTTTTTAACTATTTTTTAATTTTATAATGAATCAGGCTAATTTGGAACCACCAATTTACTGAACTGGCTCGTGCATATGTTCGGGTTGATTTATGAACGCCCAACCCTTCCCCTTAGAACCGCGCCGGAAAATGATTTTGGCCATGTCTATATGCCAGTTGTCACAAGAAAAATTGTGAACACCGTAACAAAATAATTTCGTATAAAAATCTCTGTTCTAAAAATCAGCCTAGGCGGCCGACTAAGCGGTAGGCGTTTCGGGGGCCTCTCAATCAAAACCCTTTTCCAAAACCCAATCGGGTTGGGCCCATTTAATTTCTCACTCGTTTTTTCCCATCTTTGAATTTACAATAACCATTTCAGCTGCATGCTCTCACTCTCCGTCAAGGCTCCCAGCTCAAAAATCAATCATGGCCGTCGCCACAGCGGTACGCGAACAATGGTTTCTTTGTATCCTGTATTTTCTATGAGCCTTTCTGTATTTTTATAAGTGATTTGATAATTCTTTTTTTTAATTCTTGTTCAAAGATTGGGTTTTTGACGCCCTTGAATGGCAAGTTGGAGGAAAAGGGCAACTCGATTCCCAAAATACCCCTCTCCAAAGGCATTACATATGTCGGCCGCGATTGCATTCCGATCACCGACAAGCGCCTCAGCCGGCAGCATATTGCCGTCAGTGTCTCCGATGACGGCTCCGCTGACATCATTGTTGTACGCATCTTTATTCTCTCAGTGCATGTCTGTGAATGGGTTTGATTTCTTTGGGAAAATGTCGTTTTCGGGAAAGCCCAATTAGGGCTTTAATGTCGTAATTAGAATTGTTCGACACGTATGAACTTTAGGTACTGGATATAACTCGTGTATATTCTCTCAGTCACTTGAAAGTTATGAATTATGTATGCTTGTGGCTATATGTAAGCTATTCTGCTTGTTTATTGTTTGTGTGTGTGTCATTTGTTGCTCGCAGCATTTGATGCTCTGAGCATTTTAATATAGGAAGGGACGAACCCGGTAGTCGTAAGATCACAAGGTGAGAGGAAGAAGCTTTTGTCTGGAGAAAAGCAGAAAATTCAAACTGGGGATGTTATAGAGTTATTGCCTGGTCATTACTTTTTCAAAGTCGAAATTTTATCATCTATTACTAGACAAAAAAGGCCTTTTGATGATGGAAATGGTAAAGGTAAAGAGCTTGCATGTAGTAGGAAGCGATTGCAAAAGTTTTCACAGGAGCAGACACTTGTTGAAAATTCAAATGTATGTCCCTTTTTATTTATGGGCCCTGTTTAAACATCACTTTCATCTTTTATTCATTCAATTTCATTAGTTCGAGTTTGGATCTGTTGCAGTGTAATGATGAAGACTCAAACACTTCCTCCGAGGGTATAAGGCATTTCCAAGTTCCTAAAGATAAGCTGCCGCTGACTTTTAGGCTATTGAGAGTGAAAGGATTGCCAGAGTGGGCAAATACGAATGCTGTTTCCATTAGTGATGTGATTCAGGTTAGAGTTATGTACCTGCAGGATACAGTGGTCAAAATGTTAATAGTTATAATGGGTTTTAGTTTAGAATTGATTTTGGGTAAATTATATTGATCCTCAATGAGTGAAGCTGGTTAATGGATTTATAGAAGCTCCTGTTGTATCTTTATGCTAATTCAAGCTTTTGTTTTGTAGGGTGATGTTCTCTTTGCCGTCCTTTCAAATTATATGGTCGATATTGACTGGCTACTTTCTGGTGGGTTTACTGTTCTAATATAAATTCTGGTTGTCTGGCTGTTGATATTTCATCTTTCTTTTGTATGATTCAACAATCTACAATTTCTGTATGGATACAAACTAAGGGAGCATCTTAAAAGAGTAAACGACATTCTGCAACAAATAAAACACTATATTTATTATTATTATAAAAATTCACACATTCTCTGTTTCTATTAATATGTAGAATGTCCAATGCTTAGAAGAGTCCTGCATGTGCTAGTTGTCCATGGGGAAGGTGACGGTACCCTCGAGTACATGAAGGTTTGCTAATATATCATCATAAAATGTTGAGTTTAAAGATGCTTGCCTGTGATTGATGTCATTTCTTTCTTCCTTAGAGAAATAAGCCTTCTAACTGGATTCTCCACAAACCTCCACTGCCCATTTCATACGGAACACATCATTCAAAGGCCATGCTTCTTATCTATCCACGAGGAGTGCGAGTCATTGTGCATACAGCAAACTTGATATATGTTGACTGGAACAACAAATCCCAAGGTTTGTGGATGCAAGATTTTCCATGGAAGGATCAAAACAGTACAAGTAGTGGGTGTGGATTTGAAAATGACCTGGTCGAGTATCTGAGCGCATTGAAGGTACTGTTGTGTGCAAGATAGGTATTTATGGCTGTTGTATGTGAAGTATTAAATAATAATTGGGGAAAGCTAACTATTTCTGTTATAGAGTAATGCTCCCCTACCCACGGTGTGCACATGTTAATATGCCCACCGCTTATGTGGCATGCACACATTGGTAATGTTAATATGTTCAAAAAAATATATCACCAATGTGTGCATGCCACATTGTGTGCATGCCACATAAGCGGTGGCATATTAACATGTGCCCACCGTGGGTAGAGGAGCATTACTGTTCTGTTATATATATGTGTGTGTGTGTGTGTGTGTGTGTATAGTAATGCGGTGAAGACTTCTACACTTTCCATTTTGACTTATGTTCAATGTTATTTTTAAGAAACAATTTGAATTGATTTTGTTAATTTTCTTTTATGAGTGAAACTGATTCTGAATTCTTTTCTCGATGCATTTGGGTGAATGGCTTCCAAATTCCAATCATCAAGTATTTATGTGTTTAAGATACTGAAAACTCCCATCTTTATATGCAAAGCCCAGCTATGACTCTTATTGCTTCTTATGTTTTCCAGTAATTTTTACTACTGAGTAGGTATCCTATTGTTGAAAGTCCTGAATTATTTTCATTAATTGCTGGTGAGTTGTACTAAACTGTTAGTATATTCGTAAAGTTGTCAATCATGTTAAGTAATTTGGTTTGGAAGGAACTTATATACTTTGATGGAATATGGTGCTCTAATTCTTTGCATTTGTTTTCTACTTGCAGTGGCCTGAATTCAATGCCAACTTACCAGGCATCGGTAGCTTCAATATAAATCCCTCTTTCTTCAAGAAATTTGATTACAGCTCTGCCATGGTAATTATTAGATTCTGCTTTTCGAGCAGGTTCTGACAATGTTTAGTAAATAAAGACAAGTCAGTACTATGTTGAGGATTGTCCGTGCCTAATCTTGCATGGCCTCATCTATGAATAAAATTTTCGATACTGATGAAGGCATATTGCTGATGAGGATTGTCCGTGCCTAATCTTGTATGGCCTCATCTATGAATAATATTTGATGTAACTCGACTTGCCAGGTGAGGCTTATTGCTTCAGTCCCAGGATACCATTCTGGCTCGAGCCTAAGGAAATGGGGACATATGAAGTTACGAACTGTTCTTCAAGAGTGTACCTTTGAGAATCAGTTTGAGAAATCTCCACTTATTTATCAGGTATTTGTCTACTCATCCTGCATGTCATGAAAAATGATATTTACTCTTTAAGTTTTCTCCTCGCCTGGCTCTCTTCTTACGATATTCTGTTGAATTTTTTGACTTCAGTTTTCTTCACTAGGTTCGTTGGATGAGAAATGGATGACTGAGCTGGCATCTTCCATGTCAGCAGGTATGACCGAAGACAAAAGGCCTTTGGGTCCCGGTAAACCCTTGATCGTATGGCCATCTGTGGAGGACGTCAAATCTTCCTTAGAGGTAGCTATTTGAGCATATCTGCTCGTTTGTATTGTACTATCTAAACGTGTAAAAAGAAAGTGAGAAGTTTTAGGTCAAGTGGTTAAAAAATAAACAGATTCGCACCAGAATTTTTCTGTATAACAAATTAATCATGAAAAGTTGATATATATTTTCAACTAAAAGCTTTAGAGGAAAGTTTTACTTCTTTATGTGGCTTAGAAGCTGATGGATTGTTTTCCTTTGCTCGATTCTGAAAAGGGCTATGCAGCTGGAAATGCAATTCCAAGCCCACTAAAAAATGTAGAGAAAGAATTCCTCAAAAAGTATTGGGCAAAGTGGAAAGCTGGCCACACAGGTCGCTGGTATATATACAAACTATGCGAGTGGATATGATTATGATATCAAAACCCGAATTATTGGATGGATTTAGTAGCAGTTTAATTTCTCTTTATAATATCGAATGCATTCTTAGACATTTTAAATTGTTCCAGTCGTGCGATGCCTCATATAAAGACATTCACACGCTACAATGGGCAAAATCTCGCGTAAGTGCCCCTTTGGATCAGTTATTTTCTTTTTCTTTCATTTTTTTTCCTAATGTGCTAGCTTGCAATCATTCAAATGTTGAATAGTATCTGCCTTCTGGTATTTAACAGATGGCTACTGCTGACCTCATCGAACCTCAGCAAAGCTGCCTGGGGAGCTCTGCAGAAGAATAACTCTCAGTTAATGATCCGTTCATATGAGGTATATAGAATTGTATTTTGCACGGGAAGTTCAGATTATCTTGAAAAAACTAGTAAAGTGGTCGAAACTCAAATCCCTTTGCATTGATCCTGCTGAAGAGTATTGTAATATCTATGAGATCTTGCTGGTTGTGAATTATTTCCCATATTTCATTCCAAGTTCTTTAATCCTTTTTTTAAATTGCCGAGAAAATAACCCTTATATTCTACTCAATCAATCATCATAGCTGGGTGTACTATTCTTGCCTCTACACAAGGAATATCGATGTGGCTTTTCATGCACAGATGGCGCACAAAACTCAAAGGTACGAACTAACTAAACTCATTTTTCCGGTCAGTGAAAAAAGGCTTATTTTCTGGTTTGAGATACATGGCTTTTTTTTCCTTTTTTTTTTTTTTTTTTTGAACTTTCAGGATATATCGACTTCTCAAACAAGTTCTGAAGTGAAACGAACAAAACTTGTGACCCTGTCTTGGAAAAGTAACCAAAATAACCAATCATGTGAAGTTGTTCGATTGCCCGTGCCTTATGAACTTCCTCCAAGACCTTACTCTTCGGGAGGTTATTAAGCTCCTTACTCTTTAATCTTTATTTAGCGTCCTTGCGCTCTCTCTGTAAGTTAAGTTATGTCTTAATATCTGTGACATTTTACAGATATACCCTGGTCCTGGGATCGACGGTATACAGAGAAGGATGTATATGGCCAAGTTTGGCCAAGGCAGGTGAAGCTTTACACTAGTCAATAGGAGCGTGTCTGTTTTCTGTTAATTTTAAGCGCGTAAACTGTAAAGAACTCGTTTGTTACGAGTTTAGTTGAAGCTATAACTTGGTGCAGTTGAAGTAGTCTGGCCTTTCGGGTTACATTAGTTGACTTGAATTTGTTGGTACAGTGGTGACTCATCTATGGCGTGCGATTGTGACGACTACCTTCAGATTGGAAGGGCGATCCCATTGGGTTCATTAGATAACTCGACTTTAATTTGAATATGTCACAAATATAATTGAAACGATAATATGATCTAGCGTAACGTAGATCTCAATATTAATCTCTTAAATTTAATATGAGATGATATAACGATCATTTTTATCTCCTAGGTTGTGGATATGTTTTAGAGACGATATTATTTTGATATACGTACAAGGAATATGATTTATAATTTATTAAAATTTGTCATTATATAAACAATTTGTGTTCATTAGTATAGAACAATTTAGGTGTTTTTATACATATATTTTAGTAATAGTTTTTAAAAAAAATAAGCGATTCCGCACGCCTTATCGAGAATGATACAATTATATAGTTACTTTTAATATTTTAGTTAGGGCATCCACAACCCGAGTACACAACTCTCATTCATTCGATAAAAAAATAACACTCTATCTCATTCACGTCATTTACACTTTTTTTTTTCTTTCATTGATTCATTCATTCGATAAAAAAATAACACTCTATCTCATTCACGTCATTTACACTTTTTTTTTTCTTTCATTGATTCATTCAATTAAAAAGTAATACTTTCTTTCATCCAGGTCATTTCCACATTATTTTTTTACTAAATTTCCTTCCATTTAAACATACCCACATTCTTATTCATTCACTTAAATACATATGTGACTCATTATCCACTAATTCAATATAAATTTTAATATTCATTTATCAATAAAAATAAAAAAATAATATTTTAAATAATAATAATAAATTTTAAATGAACGAAAATAAAAAAAAAATACTACAAGACCAAAATAACTTAAATTAAGATCACCTAAAAAATGAGAAGTTGCTAAATTTGTTGGTGCAAAACAAGTACAAAACTGATGTTTCTTTTATAAGCAAAGAATACGGGATAGAAATTTTAAATTATTGACACATATTGGGTAGTGTGATATAGATAAAATTTGAATTTATCATAACTGAGAAGAGTAATATAGATAAAATTGAACTAAACATATAAAAAGAAAAAATAATAGTAATTAAAATTAAATGAGAATAAAAAATAAAAATAAAAAGGGCACCAAACCCAAAGTGCATTAAAATTAAATGAAAACATAAATAAAAAGAGAGACACAAAAGTGCCGTTCAATTGTGTGAACGGACCAGTGGGCCCACCTCTCAATGAATGGCCACAAGGCAGTAAACAGATTTTGGCCATTTAAACGAGGTTAATTAATACCCTTTGCGGATGCCCTTAGCCATGGTTTGTGTTTTTATACAAGCTATAAGTGTTACAGAGCAATTTTAATAAATTAATATATGTAAATTATATACAGATTGAACCTATATTTTATTATCAATATTATTTACTCGTGCAGATTCTACTAATAATTCATGATGAGAAACATTCGTTTAATGATAATTTATTCTTTATGTTTTGTAATTGAAAATTTCGTTCCAAATCTGATATGGTTACCAAATATGTTTCACAACATACAACATCTTATTAGCATGATATGATTATCATTAGTTATAGTAATTTTTATATAAGAAGGTGTTGGTGAGCTTTGTAACTATTAGAGCAACTATCTCTGACAATTGCACGTTAATCTAACGGTTAAAAGTCTCGACAAAAGATAATTATCGACAAAAGATAATTAGGTAATGAGGCTTTAGCATTTCTCCAACTATTTGGCTTTCTCGTCTTTTCTTTTTATTACACTAAATTTGAATCGCAGCTCACAGTGTCTAAGTCGAGTCTCTTTCTTTCTTCCCTTCTCCATCTCTGGTTTGCCCTACCTCGCTAAACCTTCACTTGAATATTGAGCAATCAAATTGGTTTTAATAATTCTCTTGTTGATTTGCAGAATATTGAAGCTTTGATGTTAATGGACTGTACACTTCCGTCTTTCAATCGAAGCAGTGGTTTATTCGGCGGCCAAAGGATCAGTCATCGAACACCCTTTGCTTATCATCAGAGAGGTAAGATAAATGTAATTTGATGTAATCTGCATAACTCTGAATATGAAACACTGCACAAATTCTTATACGTATGAATTGATATAGTGAGCAGTTATTCCTTCAATATCTTCTTCAATGATACATACTGATGGGTGATAATTGATGTAACTATGGCAACATTACCTTCTTGGATCGTGGAATAGTTACTTTGTTCTGCCGATTATTGTAGGAGCATTTCGTTGCGCTACAACTTGTTCAATGAAGACCTATAAGCTGTCAGATCTTAGCAGGTCTGAGGTTATTAGCCTTAAAGCTCGCCCTCGGATTGATTTCCGATCGATTTTTGAAGTGGTATTGATGTTTACACGTTCTGATGACCTATTACTTATTAGAGAAATTCACGGTTATATCATGTTAGCATTTCTGTTATACTACATCAACAATTTGTGCTTAGGTTGAGCCCATTATTGATGATGTGCGGAGTAGAGGTGATGCTGCTGTCAAGGAGTAGGTGTTTTCTTTTTATCGCCCTTTTTTCCCTCACTTCAAAATCCTCTGCTGATTGATAACTGGGATCTGCTTTTCTACTTTTCATTCATTTTCTTGGGAACAGCTATACACTGAAGTTTGACAAAGTTGAACTAAACAGCATCGTTGAGAGTGTGAATGACTTTCCGAATCCAGCGGTATATTTCTTTTAAAATATTTCTTAAATATGTGGTTGTGATCAATGATGTATGTGTTGCACATGTGTGATGAATCTACTTTTAATTTTTGGTAGTATTTATAATTTGTCTTTATTCCATGGTTAGCTTGATCCTTCTGTTCAAGAAGCGTTTGATGTGGCGTACGACAACATTTTTGCTTTCCATGCTGCACAAAAACCGGTTGAGCAGTTTGTGGAGAACATGGAAGTAAGAAATATTAGTTTTAATCTAGCTCCGATCTGAAAAGGCTCTGTTTCATCTTGAGGGTGCTAATACATTCATTTTTCCCAGGGTGTTCGATGCAAAAGAGTAGCACGGAGTATTTCTTCTGTGGGTCTTTATGTTCCTGGTGGCACTGCTGTATTACCTTCAACAGCCCTGATGCTGTCAGTTGTACGTCGATTACGCAATCTGAGTTAATATTTTGATATTTAATCTGTGACTTTAAACATAGCCGATAGCACAATTCCCTTACATTTCCCTGAACCAGCCTGCACAAATTGCTGGGTGCAAAACCATTGTACTCGCAACTCCTCCTGCTCAAGATGGTAGCATTTGTAAGGTGGGTGTTCTCATCTTGATGTCATACTTTTTCTTGACGATCATCTTGATGTTATTCAATTGTTGACATGGCTAACCATCCAGTTTCTTCCTGTAGGAGGTTCTTTATTGCGCAAAGAAAGCTGGTGTTACTCATATTCTTAAAGCTGGAGGTGCTCAGGTCAGAGTGCACTATACGCTCAGCATACTCTGTATCTAAGGATAGTTTTTTCTAGTCTCTCTAATTTTTGGCAACATAATCTGTAGGCAATTTCAGCTATGGCATGGGGAACTGATTCTTGCCCTAAGGTATCAGTCTGTAGTCTCTACATCACGTATTCATTACTGTAGCATATTTGGTGGGTGTACTCTAATCAATGATGTGGTTGCGAAACTGTCAATTTGGCATGGAAAATATGTTATCTTCTGTATTATCCATGAATATTGATGAACATGCGAATTTCTGCAACTGTGCAATCTTCTTTATTCTCTTGTATGGTTGTGTTTGATTGTCCTAAGAGCATGTGGAGGAAGCCCATGGTATTGTCCTGCCCTAGTCCATTCCTAAATGATAAGTTAAGGTGTTAAATGGGATAACTCTACCTTGAAATCCACGTGCACTTGGTCCAAATCAGTGCCTTCGATTGACAAACGAGATCTGTTGTTTGGCATGATGAATGTGCGTCTCTACGTAGTTTTGAAACATTATTTTTCTGTTGTCTTAGTGATTATCATCTTGGGCCTAATAAATGTTTAGCTGTTCACTTAGGTCTAATTTTCTATAATCCTATGAACTAATTTTTCTATGCATCTATGAAAACTCTTGTTATGTTATGTTTGCAGGTTGAAAAGGTATATGGGCCTGGAAATCAGTATGTGACTGCTGCAAAAATGATTCTCCAGGTATTTATGAGTTTCAGTTTCTGGGAAAGTTAACAGATTAAACTTCTTCCATCTTCTAAATTTTCGGTTGGATTTTATAGAATAGCGAAGCTATGATTTCAATAGACATGCCTGCTGGACCATCAGAAGTACTTGTCATTGCTGATAAACATTCAAGTCCTGTTCACATAGCTGCAGATTTGCTTTCCCAGGTGTGTGTATACCCTTTCATAGAACTTTCGCTGCCACCTGTTTGTCTTATTTATCTTTTCTATCACCATGTTATAGTTAAAGGGTTGCAAATCTTTTTATTCAGAAGCTAAGCTTAACGTTTATGGCAGAGCCTGGGTAATTTACTGAATATTTGGGTTAAACACAGTTGGCAAGCCAGTACAAATTGTTGTTCGTTCAATGTCATTTATGGCTTCTTCTATAATATTTTGCCACTTAATTTCCTTTAAACATGCTGTTCTGTTACATTTCTCATGGCAAATGATTTGTTTGGAATTTCAGGCTGAGCATGGCCCTGATAGCCAAGTTGTTCTTGTAGTTTCTGGAGAAGGTGTCGATATAAATGCGATTGAGGATGAAATCAATAAGCAATGCAATAGCCTTCCACGGGCAGAGTTTGCTTCCAGAGCACTAAGCCACAGCTTTATTGTTCACGCTCGTGATATGGTTGAGGTTTGTAATATTATTTAAATTTTCAGATTGGCACCAAACAATTTCACAACCAATGTTCTTATTAATGACAGAAATGTTCACATGTGAATAGTTTATCTCTGTTGGATATATTCTGGTTGTAGCATATAAAAAGAATATTTCTTAGTCTTAATTCTTGGACATACATTTCATGCTAACTTTGCATATTGGCAATAAATTGGGAGGTTGTTCTTGTTGGGCTATTTCCTTATTTTAACCCCATTATGTGAATGAGTAGTGCTCCCCTACCCACGGTGGGCACATGTTAATATGCCCACCGCGTAGGTGGCATGCACTCATCGGTGATGTTAATATGTTTAAAAAAATACATCACCAATGAGTGCATGCCACCTACGCGGTGCATATTAACATGTGTCAACCGTGAGTAGGTGAGCATTTCTCTATATATATAACTCTAACTTTGTGAAGTTGCTGAGCATCTAGTATTGTTATAACCTTACACCTTAATGCTTGTTTTAGTTGCCATTGTCGTGAATTGTGCTGATTTTCATAATGCATTTAGCATGCCGAAATTGTGTCAGACTCGGAGGTTTAACTACTCATGTGTTTGTGAATGATGTATAAT